TGACTTATATCCCATCCTATAGCCTTCATCCAGCAGCTGGTGAAAGTAGCAGCTGACACCCACAGATAAACACTGAACTGAACTGGAATCCAGTTGCAGAGGAGGAGTGATGAGCAAAGGGGTCTAGACCAGGCTGGTGAAACCCACAGAAACAGCTGAACTGAACAAGGGAGAGCTCTTACTCCCCAGACTGATAGCTGGGAAACCAGCATGGGACTGATCCAGACCCCCTGAATGTGGGTGTCAGTGAGGAGACCTCGGAAATCTATGGGGCCCCTTGTAGTAGATCAGTACTTATCCTCAGCATAGGAATGGACTTTGGGAGCCCATCCCACATAGAGGGATACTCCCTGAGCCAAGACACAGGGGTGGGCCCAGGCCCTATCCCAAAGGATACGACAGACTCTGAAGACTCCCTATGGAGGCCTCACTCTCCCTGGAGAGCAGAAAGGGTATGGGATAGGTAGGGTGTTAGTTGGGAGGGGGGGCTAGGGGAGGGAGAGGGAACTGAAATTGACATGTAAAACAATCTTGTTTCTAATTCAAATAAAAAAAATGATGCTGCCTAAAGCATGATGGAAATCTGAAAAGGTCTTAGTAATAGCTTGCAGCTCGGGCCCCCATCCAGTACACTAGGGTGTGGCAAGGGGGAGGGGGTTGTTTAGGAATGGGACAAGCTTGTTATTTTAGTTACAAGTGCTTTCTTTTTTCTTGCATCTGGGGCTCTTTGAGTTTCCCAATCAGGTAGGCCATGGATAAATAGGTGTTCGATGACTGGTGAAGATATTACAAACCACACAATATGTATGGTTTGTAATAAGTCTGTCTTATAGGTGTCAACAAACACACAGAGTTTGAGAGTCCTCTGGGTTAAATCATTGTTTTCACACATTGCCAATTATGATGACAGTATGGTCTGTGAAGAAACGTTATTTAGATTCATAAATATTCAATAAAATAGAATTAGTTCCCATAGGCCACAAGAAGGCATTGTCCCTATGGAAATGGGACATGGACAACTTCATTTGG